GCCCGTCCCCCGCCCCTCCTGCACTTCCCTCTCACCCCCTAACCAGCCCTGGGCAGGGAGAGGAACAAAGAACTCATTCAGGAAAGCCAGGCTGCAGCAAGGGCCCCACCCCATAAAAAGCAGCGATGGCCAAGAAAGCCCCCTTTGGGGAAGTTGAGGGCAACCCCCAGGTTCCATTTTGCTCAGAGCTCTGCCATATGCTGGGACAGTAGCAGCCTCACTGCCAACAGGCCAGAGTCTGAGAGGGAGGAGTCCAAGAGGAGGTGGGGGAAAGGGGGCGTCACCAATCCACCAGGAGTGGCCTGGAGGAGCTCAGCAGGCAGGGGAAGTGGTTTTCCCCCAACACCAAGCCTGTTCCTACTCTCCAGCCTTATCCGAGGTCTGTGGGTAGGAAGATCGCGGCTCATAGGCGCACCACGCTTTACAGTTTGCAGGCCATCTTCTCACCCTAAATTCACAAAGCCTGCCTGCAGTCCCTGGGTGATCTGGGTGGATGATGACCCCATTCTGGAAGAAGGTTGGGCACCAGAGAGGTTCAGGGACTCACTGAGGAAGGACATACAGCACACACAGCCCTAGCTTTGCATTTCCTGCGGAATATGGGCCGTTTTTTTACGGTTCACCCTGTATTAGCGCCATGCGGGAAGGCCCAGACCTCCTCGGTACGAGGGACCCCAAGGGACCCTTGCGGTGCCCGTCCCACCCCTTCTGCGGGGAAGGGGCGTATGTCCCAGCCTCTTGGCTGGAGTGGGCCGGGTGGGCACGAATGCTTAGGTTTGGGGGAGTCTGTGTCCTCAGCAGTCTAGCGCCAGCCAGGGTCGAGGTGGGGAAGGGGGCGTGGAGGGAGTCCTACAGGGCCCGGCGGAAAGGCCGGCCCACAGACGGGGAAGCCCGGGCCCAGAGGGGAACGACTCAGTCGCGGGGACAGGGCCCTGCCCGGGGGAGCTGAAGGGAGACGGACGTTAGTTACCTGAGGCAGGCTTGGCTTGACTCCGGCTCAGGTTCAGGCTCAAATTCAAGTTCAGGTTTCGACTCTCCCAGGTCTACTGCAGCGACCGGCCCGGCCCGGGACTCCCCGTGGGCCCCGCCTCCGCGCAGCCCGAGGCTCCTCCCACCAGGCGCCGGCCAGCGAGGCGTGCGCGGGGGCCCAACACCCTACCTGTCACCGCCCAGCCCTCTGCCCCGCGGCGGCCCACACCGCTCCAGCGCGCCGTCACTCGCGGCCCTGCACGCCCAGCGACCACGCTGCTCAGATCTGGGGTCCTAAGACGCTCATTTGGGCGGGGAAACTGAGACCCAGAGAGGCGCAGGGGCTTCCCCAGGTCACACAGCAAGGCTCTCCGAGGCTGGCCCCCAGCTACACTTTGCATTTCTGCGTCCAAAGGACACACCGCGGTAGATCGCCTTCTTGGAGCCACTCCTTAACCCCTTCTTTCCTCGCCTCACTAATTTCTGAGTGCCTTCCACTTTCACTACCCTTTTCCCGAGTTCCTTTAACAAGATTTTATATTTGTGCACTTTCAAAATGCAGGTTTTGTCCTAAGAATAAGAATATATACACAGCGTAGAAAGTTTGGAAAATACAGAAAAGGATGAAAGAAGAAGGAAAAAAATCACTGTAATCCCTTCATCCAAAGGTAGCCATGATTAGGGTCGAGTGTTCATCCTGCTGGTATTTTTTCCTCTGCATCTTTCGAAAATTCTTGTAATAAAAATGAAATCATATAGTGACCTCTATTTTGCCGCTTTAAAAAAAAACTTAGGACTACATTATGAATTTTTCTCTTATCGCTAATTATAGACAACATCATTCCCTCCAAGGTGGCACAGAATTCCATTGTAGGGGTGAACTGTTGGACATTGGATTGTCTCCACCTTGTCGCTATGAGGATGCCACCACGGACTACTGACACTCCGACTGCACCGCACCCCAACAGCTACGTTTCCCGGTTAGAGTTCTGGAAGTGAATTGCCAATTAGCAGTACTCCTGCCAGAGTGAAAGTTGGGAATGAGTGGGAGGGCACTGTCCTTGCTAGGATGTCACTAGCAAGATGGCAGAAATGTGAGATGTTCTGCAGCAGGCAGCATCTGTCTCTCTGCAGCTTCCTGACCTGAACTGGCAGCTGCGGCTGCAGCGGCTCCTTGACTTTTGTCCCCTGCTCTTTGAATGGAGGCTGCAAGAGTGTGTCAGCGGTGGCCTCAGATAAGTCGCGAGGCTGGCAGGCCACATCCATGTTGTTCATGGAGTCAGTCCTGGTCTAGTTAAGGCCTGCTTCTACCTCTGCTCCTTCCAGTAGTTCTTTCAGCACCCAATCCCCTGTATGAAATCCCTGCCTCTCAACATAGATAGAATGTTCGCATGTAACTGCTTGGATCTAATCACATAATTCTTTCCTTAAGCTATGTGGCTACGGAATCTTTTGCTACCATATCATGGTTAGGATGTTCACAGCTCTTCTGCAAAATTTAGCTCTTCATTTGCATCTTGACACTTTGATGCTCAGGCTTTCCTTGGGTTTCCCCAGCAACAGTGTGAGCCCCTAGCAAAGCCTCTTCTTCCTCCCCTAAAGTATGCTTTGGGCACTGGCCTGGCATTCCGGGATTGATTGACTTAATGATCAGTTGGCCGGTCATTAACAGGCCTTGTTGATAGAGGCAGTGAGTCTGTTGGAGAGCTGTGATAGGTCTGAGAGGCCAGGGCAGACAGGATGTAGCGCCCAGGCAGTCAGGAAGTAACCCCCACGAGGAAGGTTGGGGGCCGTGCCCTGTGAGAAGTAGCTGAAGGAACTGGGGGTGTTTACCCTTTAGAACTGGAGGGACAAGGTTGTGTCCTCCAAATCAAATCTCTGAAGAGCAAAACCAGACAGGATCTGCAGGGTCCTAGAAGGCAGAGCCAGACCAGTGAGGGGGAGTTTCAGGAAGGCAGAGGCAGAACTTCCTAATGAAGCAGAGCTGACTACCGGTGGGAGGGGCTGCCTTGAAAGGCAGTGAGTCCCTCATCACTGGAGGAATACAAGGAGGGACAGACAAACATTTGGCAAAATCCTAGTTCTTATAAGGACTGAACTAGACAAGTGGCTTCCAAACTTAGCTGGTGTATCAGAATTGCATAGAGAGCTTCAAAAAAAATTTTTTACGACCTCCTGGGTCTTACCTCCAGAGACTCCAAATTATTAGGTAGGCTGGAGCCCAGGAATTTTTTTTATATTCTCCATATGATTCTGGTGTGCAACCATATTTGGGAAGTGCTGGCCTAAGTGGTCTTTGGGGATTTCATAACCTAATCATGGATGTTTCCAGAAAGTGACTGCCCTGCAGATGCTTTGTACCTAGGTTCCATCCAGCATGCCCACCCTTGACACTTCCTAAGCTGTGGCTGGCATTGAGACTCATCAAAGTGGTCCGTTGCAAGGCATTTGTAAAAGCAGCCAATAAATTTTAAAAAAGAGAACCTTCCGTAATGCTTGACATTTATGGCTTAGAGAGAGGGATGAATGTGCAGTGGCTGAGGGTAAAATGCACAAATTATTTTTGCAGAAAGCTATTTCTCAGGAATGTGTTGGATTCAGCTTTCGAATTAGTGAAAAAGATCCAGGCCTCTATAATGGATATTGGGCCTGGAGCCACTGTGGATTGGAGGGGAAAGGGTGAGATAACACAAGCCACAGTCAGGTCATTATCCTCAGGGAATGTCATCAGGGATGTGTTTACACTGGGCTGGTGGGGGAAGAGAAGCTATTTCTATCCCTCAGTGCTTTAGAGCCTTATATGTCTAGAAAGTTACTGAAGAAATCCCAGCTCTGAGAATGATAAACAGATCAGATAGATTCCAAACAAAAAGGCATGTGAACTGTGCTGGGGTACCAGGCATTTATTCTACACTGAGCATAATCCTTCTCCACGCTTGAACTGATGAGGGAGGACTGGGTCAAGACCTGAGAACTTGCGGGGAATGGAAATGTAAAAATAAGATGCATTTAAAATCAAACCAAAATATATGGTTTTTTCCTCTGTTTTTCTAAGTGAACCTCTAAGTGAAGCTTACACTTGAACATGACCAAAGTCTGAATATTGTTGAACAAAACCAAGCCTGAGGATTTGCCACAAACGCAGTTCTCCTTCTGCCTACCTGTCTTCCTTCCTCTTCCCTCCCTCTGCACCTCATTTTTATAGTTGAGGAAACTGAGAACCAGAAAGGGAAAGGGATTTGCCCAAGGTCACACAGGGGATTAGTATCTGAGTTCAAACTAGAAACCAGACTCTTGCATAAACAGACATTATGGGATGGAAGCAGAGCATGTGGCTGGTGCATGGGCATCTGCAGATGTGGGTTGCAACCCATAGCTTTGAGGGGGCCCCTGAGAAGCATCCAGTTCAAGGCTACAGACAGCAGAGAACACTGGTGGTAGCCTCTCCCAAATCCCAACATTTCCAGATTTCTTGAAAATGACTTCCTGCCCTTGACTTCCCAGCCTCCCAGCACTTATATAAGTCTTTAATTCCTTGTACTAAATCTCTTCCTACTCAAAACACCTAGAATGGCTTCTGTTTTCTTGAAAATGTCCTGATAGCATCAGTGAGACTAAGAAAGACTCAGCTGAGATGAGGAGGAAGTGGAGGAGGAAGATGGGGCGGGGAGGATGGGGGAAGGAGGAAGAGAAGGCTGCCTTGGCATTTACATATGGCAATGGCATCTGCAAGTTTGCACCAGCAGAGCAGAAGGCCCAGCTCTTACTGTACTACCCTGGTTGTGGCTCCCCTCCTGACAGTTAAGGTCAAGGAGAAAAGCCACATGCGAACGACCCAAGCAGTAACTGAAGGCAGTGCTGCCCGTGCCCTGGAAGCTCCCTCCTGGGGGAGTGAGGAGGTGGAGTTGGGGAGAGGTTTGGGCAGAGGCCAGAGGATGAGATTATAAAGGGAAGAATGCGGTTGGTAAGTAGGAGGGCTACACCACCCCCTCCCTGGGGCCTGGCGGGGCCTGCCCTTCATATATGCCTGCCACTTCTCCCTCTGGCACAGTGACAAGCAGCACAAAATAAATCAATCCTACCTCAACTGTCCCAGTGAGGAAGCTCCAGATCAGAGGCCACAAACTGGCAGCTTTAGCCTCAAGCCAGCACACATGCTCTGTGTGGCCCCAGCAGAGTTTGTGGGGTTCCCCTGACTTTTATGCTTTCTAATGCTTAAATATCAAGCTATTTAAACCACATCAGACCAATCTGGTTTTACTTTTTTGCAACAAAGTTGTGTGTTGTTTTTCATTTGCCATGGACCTCCAAGTTGAAGGTCACATAACCTGAGCATGCCCGGATGAACCAAGCGTGCAACCATAGACGGAACCTAAGTGCTTGGACTGAGAAGTGGGGACTGAATTAGGAAGTGGACACTGCATGGCAGGATCCAGGATCCAATCAGATTGCACCTTGGCATCACCCCATGGCAACATCCAATCAGATCCACCTCGTTACTCTTTGACCATAAAACCTGCCTCAACTCCCAGCTCAGGGAGACAGATTTGAGTATGATTCGTGTCTCCTTTTTTTTTTTGCCACCTGACAGTAAACCCTTCTTGCTTCAAAAACTTGGTACTTTGGGGTTTGGCTTTCCACTGTGTGTGAGCAAACAAACCCAGTTCAGTTCAGCCATACTAATTCACATTAAAAATTTACACTTCTAGCTTTCTTGAAAATTTGCAAGACCTAGCTGCACTAGGTCTGCACACCCATGAGGAACAGTCAGTCAGCTAAAGATGCATGTGGCAGCTACTCTCTTTAGACAGGGCCTTCATTCTCCAGTTTGCTGTAGGACTCTCTACTCCCTATTGCTTCATACCAGGTTCACTGATTGTGGTAGGCAGAATAATGGCCCCTAAAGATGCCTCTGTCTTAATCCCTGGTGCCTATGAAGATATTTCCCTACATGGCAAAAGGAGACTTTGCAGTTAATGATCTTGAGGTGGAGAGATTATTCTGGATTATTTGGGTAGACCCAATGTAATCACAAGAGTCCTTGTCAAAGGGAAACAGGTGTCAGAGAAGGAGATGTGGGGATGGAAGC